ATCTAACCGGCCATGGCTTTTGTACAGAGATGTGTTCTCAGATCTGTCTGAACTACTTTAGTTCTAAACTTTTTAAAGGTTGCGCCACGATCTATAGCATAATGCATGCTTTTATTCTGCACTGTGTTACTTTGATCTGAGCCGCTTTTATATTCAAGCCTTACATTGATCTGAGCCGCTTTTATATTCAAGCCTTACATCTCACAAGCATTTGTACTCAATTATGCAAAAGAAGCTCCTAGTATTGTGCCAAAGAAGTGTCCTGCTACCCAAGATGGTCAATATCTTGGACTGCTTGCATCAATTAAAAAACTTCAGTCTAAGACAGACAGTTCTTTACTCGGGCTGTGAAGTCCCAACCATACGAACAGCTTTTTACTACAAGAGCGCCCAAAGAGCATACAAAAGGTCTCCATGAACTAGTAGATTGGCCAAATGTTTACGTCTCAGCCTACGGGAATGGGAGCAAAAGGACATTCCTGTTGGAGAAAACTCAGAGGAAGGACAATAGAGGATCAGACAGGAATATCAAACTACAGTCTGTCAATTCTTCCTCCAAGAAGGGCCACCAGTGGATGTCTGGAGAGATTGGGCAGCACCTACCGGCCTCTAATAATTTCCTAATCTAACGTCAACAGGCCAGATAAGGAGATGTTCATCTTAGGTCTGTTATCTGGAACAAGTAGGGGTGAGGCGATGGATTCAACTATTCACAAGATTGGTCACAGTGTGATAGAGCTCAATGGCTCCGGGAAGGCCACTCAACAAAAATGAGATGTCCCTCAAGCAAGTCAAATAGGAGAGTCCCACCGCACTCCTACCTGAGAAGCCCCATACAATGTGGGTGGGGGTGCTGAAGTGGCCGCAGATAGCGCCACCAAATACTTGCAAAACCGAAAAATGGTCACCAGCACTCCAGGTTTTCTTCAAAACAAAATCCTTTTATTCATTCTCACAGGTCATATCACCATGCGTGGCAACGTTTCGGAACGTGTACGGTTCCTTTATCAGGCAAACAAACGTGATCACTTTTGTTTGAAGAAAACCTGGAGCGCTGGTGACCATTTTTCCGTTTTGTCCCTCAAGCAAGGGAACCCAGAATTGAAGACACACATATTAAGTCCAATGTAAGTGCCAAACAAGACAGTACAAGAGTATTTAATAATATAATGGTTCACAAATAACACAGAAGAGCCAACATCTTGTTTTTGCAGCCCTGGAGGGGGTGGTATTTGAGCCCCTGAAATGCATTGGCTGTTCTGCGTTTTCATTTTTGAAACCATTCTATAATTATAGTTTTTGGACTATCGTGCGGTCTTGTTTGGCGCTCTCATTAGACTTTGTATACACATGTATCATATGTCTGTGGGCACCATAAAGCTTAACTCAATCTAAAAATGTTTAGATAGTGAAAGGGATGAGTGAAAGGGATGAGACCTTTATGAGATGTTTATGGTTGCCTGTATCACCAATGGAAAAATTCCCCCTCACGTCATGGCGTCTCTTCCACAGGAAGCGAGGAGAAACCTCCACAACCAGGTCAAAGACTTGATAAGGATTTGCCATTCTATTTAAAACAAACAACTTTTGTGATTTAACTGCAGTGATGCGGCATTAAAGCCATGGGTGGCACAGATGGTTACTGTGTTTCATCATCCAGTGTCTTGGTGGGATCATGAAATGGTACAGAACATTCAGCCTTTGACACACAACACTTCTACTCTTCATACTGTGCAAATTCAGTAAGGAGACACTTAGGCCAATGTGTAACTAAAACCGCATTTGTTACCTATATTAAAAAGGTAAGAGATTATACCACCTCGTCCTGACAACATTTCAACAAGTACAAGAACAAAAAGTTGTATAAAAAAAAAGGACACAAAAGGACTCAATTACTTTTCCCTTAACAATCCAATAAAAAGAGCTGGGTAGCTGGTAGGGATCATTTTTTCGCTATTGCCACTTTTACAGATGATCACTCCCATGGACATCTGACCTCATTGTGTGTATGGGCCCCGCTGAGATTTCACTTGACTTTAGGGTTTTTCAGTCAATGGCCCTGCAAGGAGTTTCTGTGATCTGCGATTCCAACAGCAGACAATCAAACCTTCATAAGAAGCTGAAATTGGACTGGGTACCGTCAGAAACATTTTTTTAAACATAAGGCATAGTAACCGGACTTAGTATTGTTTAACGGTAAATAGACAGCGGTAAGCTTCAGAAGGGCCATACAAAGAAGTGTATAAAATAAATCTTTTCACTCTTGATTCACTAAGTTAATGATTGTTATTTAGCCCTCATTCACAGGGGTAACGGCCGGCCCGGACAGCTCCGTGCACCGCCGTATCGGGCCGCTCCCAGGACAGGTGCTGCGTGTGATTATACGCAGTAGCCTGTTCTTCTCTAGAGGAGTACGCGGCCGTACGTCGCCCTACGCTCACCCGACTTGCACGTCCATACGGGTGCCCCTGCTCGGACGCAGGCAGGATCCATCTCGTCAGCGTACGAGTACGGACACCCGCACAGATGTGCAGTTTGGGTGAGCGTAGGGCGACGTACGGCTGCGTACTCCCATAGAGAAGGACAGGCTGCTGCGTATAATCACACGCAGCACCTGTCCTTCCCAGGAGCGGCCCGATACGGCCGTGCATGCAACACGGATCTTTTCCGGCCTGGCCGTTACCCATGTGAATGAGGGCTTACCATTATGATCGTTACTTTCAGCAGACAGAGATGTGAAAACAGTAAATCACATGGCTGAATACCGATCAATATGCCACCTAACACCTGGGTATAGCTTTGTGAATTGAGCCCACATTTTCCTTACCATGAAAAGCCCGGTGATCTTGCAATAGCGTTGTTGAAAAGCATAATTGCGCCAGCTTAGCGTAATCCCATGTTACATGTTCATGGAAAAATATGATCACCGCAGCCCATATTCTACAATAGTCATTGGCACAGGAATTGTTTATACCACATCATATTTCTATTTTAATAGCTGATTTAGGCAAACCATAATAACGTAACTGTATCTGCATTGTTCAAAGCAGCCCAATTCCACGCTTCAGTTCCCCAGTAAAGGCAGCGATATGAAGTGTAAACCATAGACTCCGCTCTAAAAAAAAGTCCGAGATCATCTTTCTATGTATACAGGGAGGAAAAGGAGTCATATTGTCTACTGCATTTAAACACTAAAGCAAACCTGTACCGGAATGAAACAACAAAAGATGAGATCAAGAGATAAAGAGGAACTAGAATGGTTTCATTGTATTTTTTTTAAACTGTTATTTTAGATCATTGTCCCAATTCAATCAAATCTATTACTCATTCATTTGTAATATAAAAGGTGTCTATCTGTATATCTATATGTACACACACACACACACACACACACACACACACACACCAACACAAAAAAAAAACACACACACACACACACACACACACACACACACACACACACACGTTAAGATCAGGGCCCCCCCAAGATGCTTGCACTTTTAAAATTGTGCCCGCGAGCTCCTGTTTTGGGGTCTTCTACATGTGAATGACAAATTCAATTTTAAGTCAGCGCTCCTCCATGTCCCTGCATCCCACAATGCACTACACCCGTGTAACCAGCTTCACTGTGAGTGGCATGGTAAAAGCTCTGACTTGCTCAATGAGCACCCCATGCTTTGGGGCTCCTCACACAGAAAAGGTACACAAGGGAACCTTTAAAACTGAACTGCACGCAAAGCTCTAAAAACAGGTGAAATACATACACGGGAGCAGTATTTGTATATCAGTTCAGCCAACCTTGTTGTCCGGACACCCATTACCCTGCCAGACAGAGTCCCTAATCGCCACAGCAGCAAGACAAATGCGTCAAGAACACGCCCCCAACCTGCTGATTGGACAGTGACGGAGCAGCAACACACTTGAGTCATCAACATTCTGCTTCTCCTGTTTACTATCAGCATGTGTGCATGCAGCAAAGCCTGGTTGGCTCAGGACGCCAACCCTCCCTCTCCCAGTCATGATGCTGCTGTACAGGTGCTAACAGGAGGCTGACATCTCCACAGATTCGTGTACTTAGGCTCCATACAGATTTGTGTACTTAGGCTCCATTCACATATAGCGTCTGTATTTCCCGCGCGGCACGAAAACGCTAACATCTTTCATCTCCACGTATTCCGCTTGTTTCTGGCTATTGCTATAGCCACAAACGTGTGGAATCTGCCCCAAAAAATTGCGCTTGTACCATTTTGCGGGCCGCTGCAAAATTCTTAATGCACATTACAGTGCTTTGTTTATGTTTAGAGCAGTTCAGGGCGCGTATTTGTATGGCCAAATACACGTGGACAACTGCTCCTGTGTGAATGGAGCCCAGCACACAAAGATTTTAATAAAGTGTAACCGTATAAATTGGTCTTTGTTTCCTCTTTCAATATCCCAGGGTTCATCTTTTACTATTGAGCTCATCCTTTGCTGTGAAATCCCAGTACAGGTACAGTTGAACCATGACCACGGCAAAAGTTTGGCTGCAAAAGGACTACCAAAAAGGGCTCCACAAATCACAACCATGACACAAGTAGACCTCATGTACAAGAGCCACTAAAATAAAAAAATTACATTGTCCATAGCAAGCAGAATACATGTAGCCACTTTAACCAGCACAAGGCAAAGAATCAGACCGGTTGCTATTGGCAACACGGCAACGTTCCTTTGCAAACATTTATACATAAAGAGTAAAAAAAAAAAAAAGAAGAAGATGGGGCTTATTGGCATTGCACGAACTCCATCGGCACAGGGCACATGGTACCCCAGGTATCTGCTGCTCTTCAAAATGGCAGTATAAGAGTAACAATAAAAATTTCCTTCAGAATAAAATAAAAAGAACACTACATAGCTCATATAAATAAATCAAACTTATAAAAAGGAGCGGCAGCGTCCCAGAAATGCGATCTGTCTGGGGGGATTGAAATGCAGATTGGCGAGAGTTGCGCTCAGAGAGAGATTCTGTCCAGGGGTCAGTGTTGCACTTTGCGGTCGACATCAGGTAACACAAAAAGCCGAAAAAAAAGCTGTCAAGAGTCACAAGACAACAGTGAGCGGCTGCAGCTTATCAGGGAGACAAAAACATGATTTACAGGGTCAACTCAAAGCATCTGTTTCACTTATCCTGCTAAGTATAGTTTTGATTGTCATCAAAGTCAACATGGTTAGCAGTTTATTTTTTGTCGTTTTCTTTTGCTTTCCTCACTCAGAGAGCTTTACCTTAAATTTTTATTTTTTTTCCCCCGCATCACATTCGTGGTCACTTACACAAAGAACAACGGCGTAACGAGACGAGAGAACTACTGCATTGTAAGAGTGCTATACAATAGAGTCCCAGTCAAAGTCGTCTTGAATGTCATCCGCAGGAAGAGGGCGACGCATGTGGAAGTTGGAGGGCATGATGTGAGCTTGACTCATTACTCCGTGGTGTCCTGGTGAGAGAGGAAAATGATTTTAGTGTTTAGATGCCCATGTAATTGTAACTGGCTTAAAAGGAGAACTATGGGGTTAGGGCTTTTCCCCATAGTTATCCTAAGGGTAACGGGAGGACACAAACTAGCGTCCCCCCATCACCCAAAGCTACAGCTCGCGGTATACTGAGACGCCGCAGCCAGAACGGATCCCGACAATTCTGTCTGGATCCACCCAGCTGCGTGAGTGACAGCTGGCTCTGCCTATCTTGAGGTAGAGCCAGCTGTAATCACCCCCTCCCCCGTTCCGCCAGTCAGCGCTGGAGGATCAGACAGGGGAGGGGGAACCCTGCAGGGAGCTGTGAGTGACAGTCACGACTCTCTGCACGGATAGATCGAGAAGTGAGCGAGCGACTCTATGTGTTTGCTCACTTCCCGATCTACTGAGCCGACCTGTGAGTTTCATTGTCACAGGTCGGCTCAGATTATGAGGCTGAGTGAAAAAAAGGAGATTTCCATGCAAGCAACTAAGTAGACAGCTGAAATAAGTCTGTGCCCAACGTTATACTAGCCGAAGAATATGCAATTCTGTCCACACAGTTTTGTGATCAGACGCCACAGCCAAATCCCCAAACAAAGGCAGCTCATATTTGGAGATGGGTGTGCGGTTCATATCATTTTGGAAGATTTAAGATTAGGAAGGCAAATCTTACACTGGGAATCATAAAACACTTCAAGTGAAAAATAGAAAGTTCATTCCACATCCCATAAAGTGAAAAACAACATCAAAATCATGTGTTCAAATGATTCTTTGTTCTACTCTGTGGTCTCCTCGTGCTCTCAGGGTCCTCCTTTCTCAAGCTTCCCTTGTTAGCACACGCTCATCTCAGACAACCCAGTTGTCAGAAAGGATAAATAAAATTCCTCATTGTGCAGCATTTCAAAGATTTTATTTTAAAAAAATGCATAAAACACTCACATATAAATGTTTATAGCAACCGGCCGGTAACGGCATTAATTTCGTCTGGTCTCCTATGCTCCGTGTAGAGTCCGCAAGACCCGCCCCTTTAGGCGGGTCTTGCTGACGCTACACAGAGCATAGGAGACGAGTGGGGTGAGTACATACCTATTGGGGGGTGATCTTTGGCACGAAGAGATCACGGAGTGGAACACAGAATCATTTCAACACACAATTTTGATAGTTTTCACTTTATGGGATGTGGAATGAACTTTCCATTTTTCACTTGAATAAGTGTTTTTTGATTTTCACTGTTTGGAATACGGACTGTCTTCTGTTTATTTGGTGTTTGATTTAATTCTATCAGTCCTGTATATATGAATGTCACTGTTTCGGCATTATTTTATATTATTTTACCGTAATTTGCATTAATTAATTTATGCAACTCCTGCCGAGAGGTTTCTTAGCGCTGTACAGTTTTGCAGCTTTTTTTGTATAGCGGCTTTCAAACCGATTGGGGTGATTTTATATCCATAAGTGCAGATTTATATTATTAAATCTTAAACTGGCCATACACTATGCGAACCGGTCGACCCACTGTGCGAACTTCGGTCGGTTCATCAAGTTGATTGAAGAAGCCAGTTGGAAAATCTTCCAACAAACATAGCCGGCAGCCAATGATCTGCTGTTCGGTATTCTGAGACACGGCAGGCAGCCACTGTCGGAATACAATGAAGACCGCAAAAGATTCCTTGACCGAGGCTCGTAAGTGCTGATGGAGGAATCTGTTATATTTTCTTCCTTTAGCCTGCAGGTTAAATGAAGAAAATATTACAGTGTATGGCCAGCTTCAGGATCTTACATGGTGGAGGTTAGCCCCTCTTCCCTACCAGTAGAAGAATTTCTACAGCAGCAGCTTGGTCAAGGACACCCGCCGGTTTGCTAAATGGTCAGTGAGGGGACAGCAACACGGGTGCTCAGATAATATGGAGGATATGATCATTCAGGAGCCACAGTGGGATGTGCAATCCCAATCACATGACAGATTTGGTTGTCTCACACATGATATGGATGGTTGGCTTCCCTGGATTGGGTGAGGTGCATCAGATTTGTCAATTAACAGTGACTCGTACAAGGCCTGCACCTACCTGTTAAACCAGGTCCTGTAGTGCTCATTGGCGGTAAATGAGTGTAATTCGGAGGTCCCATCATTGATGTAGGAACATTTTGTCTGGAGTCAAGATATAAGTTACCTGTGGAAAAGAAACTATTATCTATAGAATACTGTCTGTAGAACAGTCACTCTGGCTACTTCCACAGGGAGATCCCTCCATATAAATTCCCAGGTCACCTACCTCCACCATTCCTGTTTATGTCCCTGCCCCCCTACCCTTTTCTTCTTTCTATTAAGATATTGGTTGTCATATCTCACTATAGGGTGGCCTTTGGCCAGGTTTGCATGGACTGGTCTGTAACATTTCTAGATTGCTCAGGTTGCAAGCTTAACCAGTTTCAATTATGCTGAATCAAATCCAGATTTGGACTCTCATCCATGCTAAAATTTCCTGTATGCTGCTCTACATTTACATTATAGGCCTATGATTGCCTGTGGTTTCGCATACCCAGCCACAGCATAAGCAGCTCCTCACTTGAGACAGTTGCCTTGCCTTTCCTGCCTCTCGTAACACAACTTGGGTCCAGAGCACCAACTGGCAGGTTGAAGCTGGATGTCAGCCTTTTGTACTGTATAACCCCATTCACAATAACTGGCAGAGCAAAGAGTTACAGAGTGCAGTAGAGTGAGAGAGCAAAACTGATGTTACAGGTTAGATGTGGATATGGATAGCTTCTGTAACAGAATTGTAGGTATCCCACCAAGCATTTTCATTAAAGTAGAAGGCAAGCCTTTACAATGTCTCATGGACCGATATATCAGTAAGATCCTTATTATTTCTGTTCTTCAGTAACCCATGATTTAAAAAAAAAAAAAAAAAAAGTTACTACCTGTGGCTGCAAGCCGCGTCGGCCAAACATTTTCCAACATGTACATTGAGCAGAAGTCAATCTCACAATCAACTTCTGCAGATGGATCAGGGTCACCGACGCAGTGAATTGTGGCCGATTCCTGCTACGCACCCTACTTTGTCTCCGTTTGCTGGTGCACTTAAAGGATTTTTTCATCCATCACTAACAATTCAGAGATGGATAGAAATCTGGACTACATACTGCTCACCTACAAGGCCCCAGCACCTTCATGTTGTACAGTCTTCTGTCAGTCAACATATGCCAATTTATTTTTACCCTCTAAACTTCTCACTGGGATGACCGGATAGTTCAGTGGATGGAGACTGACCATCATGCTCTGATATTTGGTAATAGAAGGATAGCTTAGAACTAGGGATGAACTGATACTTGTAATCAGTATCGGCGCAGATGCCGAGTATTTGAGCGAGTACTTGTACTCGCCCAGTTGCTCCGATGCCTAGCCCGATATGTTCGGAATCGGTAGCTGGCCAATTAGAAAGCTGGGCGCCGCGTCATTACACAGTGCCCGGCTTCCTGATTGGCCAGAAAGCCGTCTCAATGCTTTCTTGTCACCAACCACTCAGGAAGCCAGGCGCTGTGTAATGACGCGGTGCCCGGGTTTTCTGTTTGGTCGGGAAGCCGGCTTCATGCTCCCTTGCCACTTCATGACGAGGGAGCATGAAGCCTGCTTCCCGGCCAATCCGGAGGCCGGGCAGCACGTCATTACACAGCGCCCGGCTTCCTGATTGGCCAGAAAGCCGGATCTATGCTTTCCCTGCTAATTGGGAAGCCGGGTGGCGAGTCTTTACACGATGCCGGGCTTCCTGAATGGTACTCGGTATCGGCGAGTACCGAAAAAAAGAATATCGGTACTCATACTAGATACCGAAATACCGCTATTGGTGCATCCCTACTTAGAACCTATGTGCGGTGGATCTCAGACTTTGAGACTCTAGGCATCAATTACACACCGGCGTATTGATCATCTTGTGAAAATTCTCCAGTTTGTGGAGATCGATTTAACCAAAATTTCTCAGTTTGCATTAAATTGTTAAAGGCATTCAAGAAAAAAAACCCAGACTTGCCTGTGCTGAGGTGCTGTGAGGGTTTGGAACTGTGCATGCTACCATGGCACACAGGCGACTGTACGTTGCTCTGCGGATGGATGAAGCCGGTGTGATTGAAGAACTCGCTGAGGGAGGAGCACAAGTCCGCCAACTGAACCTGATCGAGTGACCAATTCTTCATGTCTGCTTGTCTCATGCTTTCCATCAAACCTAAAACCAAAGAGGACACAACATGTGTGATAACAGCATCTACAGCATCAATCTACTACTACTACTCACATTTATCTGAAATAAGAACTCTCTGTGCTTCCTAACAGTATACGACACATCCAGCTGTAATGTTTTGCAGTGCAGGTTCCAAAATGAAACACATTGTTTGAGACACATTGGATTATAGCAAAAAGCAGGTTTACATTTTTATCTCGGACACATTGTAAATAATTTCATAGAGAATATTTAGCCACTTGTAGTCATCTCTGCATCAGAAGAACCTGTGATCCTAATTAGGGATGGGCTGCCTGTTCGAGTCGAACATAGCCTGTTCTAGCGTTCGCCGAACATTACGGGATGTCCGCGGTCTGTTCGACCGCGGAACATCCCACAATCGACTGCGCTGTCCGAAACGGCAATTGGCTACAGTCTTACACCTGACCGCAGGTCAGGTGCAAGACTGTGCCAATCAGGGCTCAGTACAAATATAGAGCCATGATTGGGCAAAGTCACGATGACTCTGCCCAATCATGTCTCACAGCTAAGTCCCTGCAGCACAGCAGTATATATATACAGAAGTCTGATTATATATATATTTATTCTGAGTACTGCCCTGGGGGACATGTATCAATGAAAAAAACACTTTAAAAAAATACAATTTTTAAAAGGAGTAGTGATTTAACATCATCACTTAAAATGAAACATTAAAAATTTACGGTCAGTGAAAGTCCCCTTTCACTGACCGTAAAGTGGCGCATCTGTATGATGTATAGAACCTGCTGAAGCAAAAATGACATTTATATACATTTTATTGATATTTATATAGAACTCTAATATCTACAGAAGTCTGATTTTATATATATATAGAATTAGAACCGAACACGGGGGTGTTCGGCTCATCCCTAATCCTAATGTCTGTGAAGGTTCCCATTTATCCAGGTCATGGTATATCTGTAAAAAAGAAGTCAAGGCAACTGACTTGCTGTATGGGACAAGGCAGAGGCAATACGTGTATCTCTATCTTCAAATGATCTGATGCTGTACTGAAATGGCTAGGAGCCAGAAAGACCATTTCAAGCTATTGATTAATGTTAAGTGGGTAGTGAACAGCTGTAAAAATAGCTTAAACCCACACTCCGGGCAAAATGTTTACTTACAAACTGCACTGGTTGTGTAAACGGTCAATAACAAGCCGGTTATTATGTGCAAAGGAGCGTCTACAATAAAAAAATCTTATCTTGCAGCACGCTGACCCCTGCACACAACGTCGAGCTTCTAGGCACTCAATAGAGGGAGAGATGCAACCCAAGCTGTACATCGCTCTGGTTGCATCACCCACCCCTCCTCACTACCGTCCATTAGGAAAATGTCATATACTTTTTTTTTTTTAAAGAATACAAGGAGTTCTGTGATTGGAGGGGGACAGATGTCACACCCCATCCCCTCCTCCAATCACAGAATGTCTTGCACTCTTTAAAAAAAATACAAGACATTTCCTGAATGGACAATAGTGAGGAGGGGCGGGTGATGCGACCAGAGCGCTGTACAGCTCGGGACACATTGCTCCCTCTCTTCAATGCCTAGAAGCTGGACGTTGTCTGCAGAGGAAGGGGTGCTGCAAGGTAAGATTTTGATACTTTGCAGCCACACTCTGCACATAAGACCCAGCTTTTTTAATGACAATTTACACACCCAGCACAGTGAGTAAATGATCATTTTGCTGGGAGTGTGGCTTTAAAAGGAAAACTGTCATGAAGAAACTGCAAGCTACCATTGCTGACCTTTCCATCTTAAATTGCTAGCTTCCTCTGTGTCTTGCTGCTGGTCTGAAGTAATAGGCAATTTCAGATTTCCTAGAAAGCAGCTGAGCTGGAGAATCAGCTGAAGTTTTTTATTTTTAATCTAAAATCTCACTGTGGCGCTTGTGCAGCACATTTATCATCAGCAGTAGTGTGTACGGTATACAGTCTCAGTATACAGATGTCAGGCTACTTCTTGCAGCTGCATATTTAATGGAAGATTCCAGAACTTGAATTACAGCCTGCTAAGTCTCAAGAGGTAAGCAGCAATCATCGGAGCTAATTCCCGGGATTAGGATTCTTTTGCAGAGACTTTCATCTAGAAAGCTGACTTGGATCTGAAGTAAGTGTTCATGAATGTGAGCTTTAAAAGGGACAATGTCTTTTCTTAAACCATTATGTAATAAATATTACCATAAATCTACATATGGAAAAGCAGAATTTTTTTTTTCTTTTACATAGTTCTGGATTCAGTGGGGAAGAGAAAGAAAAATACTTTAAAGGCCAACTCTGGCGGTTTTTTTTCTTACATTTGGTTGGGATAGACATGGAACTACTTTCTATGACCCTGCTAACACACTTACCGTCCCTGTGTCAGGAGGACAAGAAATAAGGGAAGTGGTTATTACGGTGACAGGAACAAATAACCTGAGAGAGGTTTTACTCTCCCCATTTTACCCATTAGTGGAATATGAGCTGGGGGAAGCCAGTACAGCTAGACAGTACCACCTGCAAGGCGGTATGGCAATGTAGCTCTGGGTCCACCAAGACTCTGGTAACTACAGAGGGCAGAGCGTGTGTCAGAAACATTGCACCCAGCAGTCAATTAACTCCTGCCACGGTAACACTGGAAACATTTCAAAGGCGCCCAGTGGTCCAAAGAATGAGGTAGCCCACAGTGCTCAGTAGATCGGCCTACTCAGAAAGTGAGTCTTCAGAGACAGGCAAGTGCTGAGGCAATGCCAGCGGCTCTGCAGCTAACTTGTTGGAGTCTGGAAAATGCTTAAAGTGACACTAAACTCAGGAGTTAACCCCTTCGTGACTGACGAAATGGGTGCAAAAAATGAAAAAAGGGCCTCAGTCATAAAGGGGTTAAATCTTAAATACATTCAGGTACCTTAACTATGAACAAAAATGTATCTTATTTGTGTATCACTTGGCTGTAGATCCTCAAATCATCTCTGAATTGGTGCGGACACTGTCCTTCCTTCTGGAGGGGGGCTACTTTTGTCCCCATGGTCCCTTTGTGTGTTGTAAAGTAGTCACTGCTCCAAGCTCACTCCTGTGATGGACTACAATCTCACCTTTTAGTTTACAAATTTGTACTGGGATTGCAGTCTATCATGGGAGTGAGCTTGGAACGGGAGTAGAACCCAGTGTCTGAAGGTCACTTCCAGGCTGGCCTTGTAATGTCCAGTCCAACTGGGTCCAGCACTCCAAATCTAGGCTGTGAAAAGGCTGATCTGGAGAGATGTTGTGTAAAGACCAGCTCTAGCAGCAACATAGAAAGGCATCTGGATTGGAAAAAAAACTCAGATTCCCTGCAGACTTTACAGAAATTTCAATTGCATTGTGATGGTCAGCGGGAAAGGGGACTATCACCTCTCTTATTATGCAGGCACACTTATTGGCAAAACTTTTTTTTTTTAATGAACGCGTTGCCTAAATACACAAACACACAAAAAAAAAGACCATCTCCTCCTGTAATGAAGGAGGCTCATTGTAAAAAAAGTAGCCATGTATACCTTGGAACTGAGTGAGATCGACATCAGACCAGTTGGCACTGCTGGCAATCCGGCAGCTTTCTTTCAGCATGTCTAAAGTCGAGTACCAGTCTGCGGGGGGAAAATCGGCACGCTTTAATAAAGATACTTTCATCAGCTATTCAGTTTTAGCACCTAAATCTTTACTCAGCTTCACCGTCAATTCACAACAAAGATGCCTATAAAATATTCATTTAAAAAAAACAATACACATTTTGTATAATGCTGCGACACTTTTCAATAGATAGTGCCCGGGAAATGACTGATGTGTATCTGTTATGATAGATGCCACCCACTGATTAGATTGTCTGTAACCCGAAAAGACTCTTCATTGGAAAAGAACACACCTTATTTTATGTGCAACTCCAGGCTCTCATTGTGAAGATTTGTAAAATTCTTGGTGCTTGCAAATTAAATAGGATTTTATTTGTACACGCCATTAAATCTTTTTTGTTGGGTTCAACCCACGCTGTTTGCGCTGTCTCACCCTCTGCCAACCTTTGCAGAAAACTCTTCCCACCTCAGGAGCTAACCCCCTGCTGTCACTTCTTTCCCCACACACGTGGAACGCAGCCGGCGTCCCATCCACATTAAGCCAGCCGGCGTCCCAGCTACAACCTGCCAAGAGGACTCCCCAGGATCAAGTCCTGCTCCACTCCAAGCCCAAGCATCATCACCACCACCGCCAGCCTACTTGCTCATCAGAAAACTGTATGAGCAGAGCACAATCGGTCAGAAGTACGACCGACTACCGCATATAGATTTTCAAAGGATATACTATCAGACGATCAAATAAGTTCAACCCTTCACAGTTGAAGATTCCACTCTCAGCTGTTAACGGACACCATCCAGGAAGACCCCGACACTGGCCCTGCAAAGCGCAAATCCTCCTGCGACCATCAGCTCAATCCCCACTTCCTTCAGAAACCAACCAGATTGCGCCAAAAGGAATTCGCCATCCTCTCCAGCAGGGGAACCAGCGCAACACCTCCCTCGTCGAGGACATCACATCTTTAAAAACTTCCTGGCGAGTCTCTACATTTTCACACTTTGTCCTATTTATTGCTCGAGATTCACTTGCACCATCTTTTGTCTTCCCTCATCTCGGTATACACCAAAAGAAAACATTGACAACACAATCAACCACCATAAACTATTATCCCCAACCCATCCTCCACCCAGCACATCCACTACTACACCCATTAATTCTCACTCGGTCGTAGCGCTTCTTCCTCCACCTTTTTTCCCTTCTATTTATTATGGATGCCACCCACTGAGTACATTGTCTGTAACGCGAAAAGACTCTTTATTGGAAAATAACGCACCTTATTTTAATTGCAACTCCAGGTTCTTCTTGTCAAGATTTGTAAATTCTTTGTGCTTGCAAATTACTTAAATAGGATTTTATTTGTACACGCCATTAAATATTTTTGTTGGGTTCATTAGAGGACATGACACCTGCTCCTCTGTTTTTTTTTTTTGGGGGGGGGGGGGGTTTTGGCCACCAGCAAGGGCTTCCCCTAGGCTGTGTTTCGCAATATTAGTTATTGTACTCTGCAGGTTGCAATATACGCAGTAGGTGATGATATAAAGTAGTGCTGTGTCCTCCAATGAACCAAAGAAGAATCTTTTTTCTCTCAGCTGGCAGAGTTGAGTAGCAGCCACAGCCCTCATAACAGGAGTCCTTTTACAGACATATATTGCAGAGGCAGAGAGCGGTCCTACCTACCCAGACCTGCTACTGAGTGCTGATGTCTGAGCGCTCAGAGTCTAAAGCTAGCCATATACCGGGCATTTTTTTTTCCGCGGGGCTGAACGAGAAAAATAACTGGAATCCCCCTGGCAGACTATTGTATTAGGACAATGGCAGATGTGCCGCTCAAATCACTTCTACCTAAAAGCCAAAAGGTCGGCTGAAAGAGTGTAAACACAACTCTGGCTGCTATGGCAGCCAGGAGTCCATTTACAGCTCCCTGCTGCCATGGATGTAGTATCTACGTCTGTGGCAGCAAAAGGGGTTAATCTCCCAATATGTACTTTTCAACATAACGATTTTGGGTGAATTTTGCTACCTATTGGCTGCATGTGTACATGAAATATTTATATGTATTATTTCAGATTTATCCAAATAGAAATCTATATATTTTCAGTACAAATGATAACAACACTAAAATATTCGCCAACTTTCTGGCCCATCACAACTTAAATCATATCACAGCAGAGCAAAATTCCACCTAATGTTAGCCCTCTGTGTTACTATTTGATTGTACAACCTGCATAAGATCTACCAGCTAAGTAGGGTGCGGGCCTACCTGAATGGACTCTTTAGGTGTGCCCTTACACGAATCTACAAGAGACTGTAGATACATTGCAATAGGGACACCTGTTTGATGAACAGATGGCAAAAAAACACTCACATCTAAAAATGCATTAGACTTGTAATGAGTGTAACAGACGTATGGTGAAGCAAGCACTTACCTGAATTGTAGGGCTGCTGTGTTAGCGAGGTCTGATGTGTGAGCGCCTGGTGCTGATGGTTGGAGTGGTGCTGTATATGCTGGTGCTGTGTATTATGCTGTGCTTGATGCTGGGCTTGATGCTGTGCAGGATGAGTAGCAGGGTGCTGGGCTTGGTGCTGTGCCGGATGGGTGGCTTGGTGCTGGGCTTGATGCTGTGCCGGATGAGAGGCAGGGTGCTGGGCTTGATGCTGTGCCGGATGGGTGGCAGGGTGCTGTGCAGGATGGGGGGCTCGATGCTGAGGATGCTGAGGTTGGTGCTGCGGAGCCTGTTGATGACAGTGAGATGCGTGCTGTGCTGGATGCTGCTGATGGTGAACTACAGTGTGGTGTATATGTGGAGACTGTTGGGACTGCTGACTGTGTAGTGGAGTGTGAGACATGTGAACTTGCCCCAAGGAGTCACCTACGGTGCTGCCAAGACTACTGGCATGGCTAATAGTCAGGTTACTTTGGCTACCATGTTGCTGAGAGCTCATTGTGCTACTAGGGGAGTGCTGATAGGAACAGGGCGAGTGTGTCTGCTGGGAGGACTCAGACTGGAGATTCAGCATTCCTGAAACAAAAAGAAACAGAGTGCAGTTATTGGCACTATACAGATATAGTACAGAAGTATAAAAACCATAAAATCAGAAATAAAACAATTAAGCATTAACATGTGCAGAAATAGGTCACAGTTTTGTATATGACTGTGGTAAAAAAAAAAGGTTTGTTTGTTAAAAAGGTAACCATTATGTTCTCCTTTCGCCCACACATTGCGGTGAGCATGTAACAAGCAATAGCATTACATTATATGGATTTATATAGGTTGTGCCACTAACCCATATAGCAGATGGAAAAACCCATAATAAGTTGCTTTACCATCAAAAGTCTGAATTCCACTCTAACACCGTCTGTCTGCATACAATGACATCAACTTTCCTTTTTCTGACTGGCTCTACATTTTTTTTTTTTTACTACACTATTCTAGCCAATACAGAATGGAGGAAACTGGAATTTTACAGAGTTTTCACAGCAGCTATCTAGGGATTGGCACAGAACTTGATGGGAGTAATGAAGAGCTTACAACGGCCTATATGCAGCGGTGATATGGTGGGATGAGATGGTAAGATGAGTGGCATGGGTCACTTTAAACTGGAACTCTTATCCAAAAAACTGCAAAAGGGCTAGATCCACTGTCCGGTAATTACTGATGTCAATGTCCGTGTTGGGAAGATGTCCCCTTACTTCCTGGTAAAGTCCAGGGCATTGCTGTAAATCCAACTACTGGTTTCCCTGTTTACAGTACATTCTTCATGCATTCCTATGAAGAATCCACTAGAGAATGATGTCACTGACTCCCTAAAAGAACATATAAGGAATAATTCCAGGGGAAGGAGGAAGTCCAGCTCATGCCATTGTCTTCTGTGTCGCACACAGGAAGTGACGGGAAACCTCCCCTGTGGAGACGCACACAGCAATAAAACCCTGGCAGTGAATTTGCTCCTTTGAGTCCATTTAAAACTGGAGGAAAAAAGGTTTCGGGGTGGCATTCCATTTTAAGTCTATAAGCAATTACCACTTAAAAGTGATATTAAAGTCACAAGGTGTTTTGCCATTTCAAATGTGGATTAAACCACTTACAATAAATGCTACACCTTGATGTTTAAAGTTTTCGTTTTCTGCAGAATCAGCTAGTCCCCTGAAATTCTGTTTTAGGGTGGCCCTTTTCCCTTGCAGAGTCCCATAGAACCACCCTTGTGTGCTAGTAACCTGTGTGTCTCTACAAACAGGCAGGCACAACAAGGCAAGCTACTCTCCTGCTCATCCTTTCTCCCTACTTCCTTCCCCAACCTAGAAGATGGAAAGCTGCTGGAGAATGTGCTGTCCCTGGTGATCTTATACTGGACAGGAAGTTCAGGGAAGCTGAGCTGAAAGAGTCGGAGTTGCTCAGGCATGATATCTGTAAGTGCTTGGGCAAACAAAATGTAAAATAAATGCTTTGTTGGGCAATGTTTTATCTTGATTCATTATTGCAAAAAAGTGTGAGAGTTTAATATTACTTTCAAAGGAGAACTATGAGGTGAGCGATTTCCACTCATCCTCATAGTTCGAGCCGACCTGTGACAAAGAAACAGGTCACAGGTCGGCTCTATAGATCAGAAGTGAGCGAACACATACCGCCGCTCGCTCACTTTCCGATTATCTCCCTGCAAAGAGCGGCGACCGTCAGTTACCGCTTCCCCGCAGCGATTCCCCCCCCTCCCGTCTCCGATCCTCCAGCACTGAGTGGAGGAACAAATGGGGAGGAGGCGGGTACAGCTGGCTTTGCCTCTAGATAGGCAGAGCCTGCTGTCAGACAGCTGGATGGATCTCTACAGTATTGTCGGGATCCGTCCCAGCTGTGGCGCTCTCAGTATATAGCAAGCTGTAGCTCGCTATATACTGAGCTTTGGTCACCGGAGGTTAGAATATGTCCTCCCGTGATCCTAAAGAGAACTATGGGGTAAAAAGGTTACCTCACAGGTCTTTTTTGTAACTCAAGAGCACTGTTACCCACCTTGGCTTGCCGATTGAGCAAATACATTCTTGTACAGGCTTCGAAATGAATCGCTGAGATCTTCAAAGTTATACTCTGGGAAAAGCTTTTCTCGCTCTGGTGTGCTGTACTGAGACTGCTGCGTTAATGACGCAGCAGATGGCTCTGGATGGCTTGTTACCTAGTGTTGAAAGAGAAGCGTAATGAGCAATTTCTTCTATAATGGGGAATAGCAGGTAATTCCACAAACAAAAGAGTGCATGCCTCCTGGAGGGTTAAACTACATTCTTCAGAAATCCGCCCTCTAATCCAATTAGAGGATAATTATTAGCTGCACCAACCCCTGGTTGCTAATGAGCTACACCAAACAAGAGTTAATCCTCACCCTCCCGACAGACAGAAAATCTTTGCCCATGTAACAGTTTATTTTTCAGATCACCTCTCTGTGCTGTAGTGCATTAACGTGTATTTCCTTGAGACAGCCCATTCATTTGAATAGGCTGCAAATGCACCACAACGCAGCAAAAACTGGATGTGCACCAAGCTTTCCGATGCAGCACAGCACAACATAACACATGTCCAATACTGTGTGCTGCAATGCAAGCCAGCTGCATTGTGTTCCTGCATTAGGGTACCATTCAAAGTGGCAAAAAAATTAAGATCACCCATTAAAATCTAAATCTTATATTATTCTCTAAAGCTAAGAGGACCGCCGATGTATGAATCAGCTCTCCTCCTAAACCAGACGTCTGCAATCCTTTCATGTCTGAGCATGGCCTGCTTTTCAAGCAGCGGACGCCACCGACTTCTTGATAGTTGCAGATGATCCAACCACCAACAGGGTTATTCACAAAAGGGTGAAGAGTTTGGAGACGGCAGGAGAAGTGATCAATCTAGGACAACATAGCTGAACTGAAAAGTGAGCTGAATGGGAGAAGTTTTCCAAATTGGCTATTTTGGCCTAGATTGTACATGCCTCCTGCCTTCAGCTATGTTGTCCTAGATTGTTCACTTCTTCTGCCTTCTCGAAACTCTTCACCCTTTTGTGAAGAACCCTGCAAATCTTACAATAATAACCCTCAATGTGCACGTCCCACGGATACTCCATAGCTATTAAATTAAATCTTTAAATAAAAGTCAGCATTTTTCTTGTACATTCCTCCTGCATATAACTCCATCGGTCTTTCAATCTTGTTTATCAAATAACAAAGCTGCCATTCTCTCCCCATACACAGCCGCGCTTTATATTTAGTGACTGGCGTCCTCTGCGTTGCAGCGCTGATCCTCGGCTATTTTAAACAAGGCATAAACCCCAAACACAGGCCCACAGTGGCAGAAGTGTGAGTGATTTATGTCAGATGTACACCGTGTGCCTAGTAAAACACATTACAGCTTGTGCAAACACCCTGGTCAGGCCTAGCCTGTTATTGTTGGATGGAGACGTGTGAAGAGGGAGTGGCAGCGCCTGCACAATGTATAGAGGAGGTCTGCTCACCGGTGTATAGCTGTGCACACTGCCAACACTGTTCAAGTTTAAGGATGACACACTCTGATCCGAGAGGCTGTTGTTAAGGCTACTTCGAGGACTGTCATTGCCATCCTGACTCGTGTTACCGTATAAAGTTACCTGGGAGAAAACAAAAAAAGAAGCATTACATTACTGGGTTTATACATTAAAAAGTCATTCCAGGCAACAAGTAAAGCAAATAAGAGAGCTGCTGAATTGTAAAAGCCAATATTTCAGAGACCTAGAAAGAAAAAAAGACAACACAGGCAAAGTTTTACAAATTTGGTTTTCTTTAAAAAGCAGCGGCAGCCGGAGTACGAAAGCTCGTTACTGGTGAGCACGCTGCAGAGAAAGCTCCTTGCTCTCTGTGTGGAAGCAGTGGCCTCTCTGCTGCTGAGTAAGAGCTGAACTCTCCAATTAGGAGGAAGCATGAGCTTTATGACTGCAGAGCTATAGGTCTGACTCAGCAGGAGGAGCATAGGACTTCTGTAGAGAGGCAACTGTTTCCACACAGAGAGCAAAGGTTCTTCTCTGCATCACCCTGGAAGAAGACAGGTTTTTAACTTGGGCTGTGCCATGCACACCCCATGTTTTAACAGACTAAAAGGTTAAATTGGGCTTCAATTTACCCTACCAAGTAGCCGTAATTTAGAATGCACCACAACATGTCACCGAGAGTAGACTTCCTGAAACCTGATTCTATGTAGATTCCCCTCTACAGAACGTTTAAATTGGATCCTCAGCAAACTGACTGGACAATCACTGGGCCACCTCTATGGGTCAGAGTTCCCCTAAACCAGAAGCCAAACTCCGGTCCGGTTCACTCCAGCTGTGGTGAACCTACAAATCCCATGAGACATTGCAAGATTCTCACAGCCACGACTACCAGAGAGAGATGCATCATGGGATTTGTAGTTTCCCCACAGCTGGAGGGCCGCAGTTTGGCTACTCCTGCCCTAAACCATCTATTCCATTTTTATGTAATTGGAAAGTTGCTCTCAGTCCACAGTCATTGGTAAATCCAATGCCGGCCTTACATGCAACAATAAGGCTTTGTTAAACTGCGCAATTTGAGATTCCTGAATCCTAAATGTCCCGTTTAGCTGCGGCCGCTGTGCCAGTCCAAATTCATGACTGGGTGACAACAGGCGCATCTGTAAATCGGCAGTCCACATGAATAGATCACGATCCCTGGATACATCTATCCTGCATCCAGGGATCGTGATCGATCCCAAACCGCATGCAATTGTTACGACATAGGATTAGATGTGGACTGCCGCTTACAGATACGGCCGCTGTCACCCAGTCATGAACTTGAATGGGTACAGCGGCCACAGCTAAACAGGACTATTGGGATTCCGAAGGCAGGAATCCCAAATCGCATTGTGTGAATGAAACCTAAAGGATTTCAAGCAACAATCTATTGTATTAAAAAAAAAAAAAAAAAAAAAAAAAAGCATCTCAACACTACAAAGAAAAGTATAAGTCTGTGTTGATTTTCCACTATGGTGGATTATTCCTTTGCAATGAGAACAATCACCCGATTGTCAGTAGAATAGATATTTCATAGAAACATAATAAACTAATCACATTTGGCCAGTACCAAGAAAGTTGTACAGTTGTCTACAATTGCATATCTATAAAAGAAGTGACTGTGCCGCCTCTCACCTAAGCACTCGTTCACACCTGAACGTTTTGTAGCACGTTCTACGCTCGACGAACGCTCTACAAAACGCTCAAACATCTAAATCCCATTGTATTCAATGGGTCTGGTTCACACCTTGGCGTATTTCAGCCCGTCCCTAACGTGCTACAAAACGGCCCACGCCTGAAAAGGTACATGTACTACTTTGGGCCGTTTTTGTTGCGCGTTTCCATTGGGATACAGCCAAGTAGCCCTCAGAAACGCGCGTTTGTTGCGCAATTTTTTTACCGCGAATCGCGGTAAAAAGACCGCGTGACAGACGCGCATATGCAATACGCCTAGGTGTGAGCTTAGCGATTGTACCATCAGGTTCTAAGGTATAGCTTCGATAGCCGACGGAGCGACTTGGGCCGGTGAGTTTGCCCAAGAAACTTTTTGCACGAGCGCCAGCCAAGGCATTGGCCTATACACATACAGCACAGCAATGAAGTAATAAAATGAACTAGGATCACACTAATCCAGCACGTTATTCTGAGTTGCCCCACTCAAGCGGCGGCCATATTGAGTGGGGCACGTGAGATTAATAACGTGCTGGATTAGTGTGATCCTAGTTCATTGTATTACTTCATTGCTGTGCTGTATGTGTATAGGCCAATGTAGTTGGATCTGTATGTGCGTTATAAATCGAAATTAATCGATTAGTAAAAATTTCGATTAATCGAACACGAAAATTTTAATCATTACCAACCCTTATATATACAGAGCTTGAAAAATCCACTCGTCTGTGACGAGAGGACGGTGGAGCCCGACGAGCAGCTTCTCGGCCGGCCGTTGTAATTACACGGCCGGCAGCTTTACAGTCAAGCGATGGAGCGTCTCTGGAGACGCTCCATCGCTTGTATCAGCCACTGTCACTGCCGTTGCCGGTCCCGGGATCCGGTACGGCTCTGTGACAGGAGATCAAAAGGGAGTTCAGAATACGAACTCCCTTTGATCTCCTCTCAGTCCCCAAATGCAGGAAGTGATGTATATTACATCACTTCTTGCATTCAGTGTCACTCTCCAGCTAGAGAAGCTGATGAAGTAGATCTCTGCTTCATCAGCTTCTCTGGGTGTTCCTAGGGGACATTAGGGGTCTTGGAGACCCCTGATGTCTCCATGAAGAGGACCCGTCATGTAAATTGGCTATCACATAGATGGCTTCTTAGCCCCCCATGTAATAGCAATAAAGTTGTGTGTAAAAAAAAAAAAAAAGTTATACAAAAATTAAAGAATCATAAAAAAAATTAAAAAGAAAAACTTTAAGCCCCCGCCCCCCGACATACACGCGCAGATATGCGTCGGGTGCGCCTACGTGCGAAAACGACAATTGCGCCTATTGTGCCGCGCATGTTACATATCGCCGTTGGAGTGAGAGCAATCATTTTAGAGCCATTAATCACTGATAATACTAAACTGATGAGCAGTAAAAGCATTTTAATCGTCGCCTATGGGCGTTTTTTTGCGATTTTGCGGGCGCACGCAATTTTAAGGCTTGACATGTTTGGTGTCTATTTACCCGACGTGACCCCGAATTTTATGTTTTACTAAAAATATGGGTAAGAATAAATGTTTTATAACATAACGTAGGGAAACTTTTTTTTTTTTTTTTTACATTTATGAAACTTTTTTCATTATATAGTAAAAAAAAAAATAACCCCCAGTGGGGTCACAAAAGAAAGCTCTATCTGTCCCCAAAAATGTTTAACATTAATTGCAAGGTTATAGTCCGGTCATGCTGACTGGTGACATTTTTGACTGACTGGTAAGACACCGTCAAATTTTTCAAGCCCTGTAATATATATATTACATGGCTTGTAATATGTAATACACACACACACACACACACACACACACACACACACACAGTGGAGATCAACAGGCTATACTTGAACCTGATTGGGTAAAAGGTAGACAATGGCTACGGCTGACACCATGATACAAAAGCGATAGGGTTCTGTGAACACAGCACCTGGGAATAGGGGGCACTTACTTTGTTAGTCACAGTGTTGATAGCCATGTTCGGAGAGGCACTTCCAGAGATGATACAATCCATACCCAAGGAATCTGAATCGATGCTGTAAGGTGTTGAGGCCTGAATGACAAATAAAAAGGCAGCATTGATTTCTGCATCAATGTACATTTAAAAATGCATCCAGTAGATGAATAATTTAGTTTTGTGCACTCTGTGCATCATAAAAAAAAGACCAACTCTAAAAATAGCAACTTCATACTGCTGGATACAAATTGAAACTACAAAGACAAGACGAGCAGCTTCGTGATAAAATGATTCATCCGATGACCTTTATGTCAGTAACACCTTTCTAGAAGAGCTCTATGTGGGCATTTCAGGGCGGCAAGAAGGAAGGAAATAAGAGAAGGAAGACGTAAGAGGAAGCTGAGAGACCCGAGAGTGCAGGGGGTTACTAATGGAGTTAAACCTTCAATTTAATCATCCAATCACACAGGAGGGATTCCATATTGTTTCCAATTCCGTCACACATGATTGGTTAATTGAAATGAACGCAGATCAAGAAAGCAAGACGGAACTAGAGAGGCAGTCATCTCATTCACTAAATCTGAGCCTGTGAAATGCAGACAACAATAACACATAGTTGGTTAAAGTGACACTAAACTCAGGGGGTTAAACCTTTAAATTCACTTAAGTGTCCTAACTATTAATATAAATGTATCTTATTTGTGTCTCACTCGGCTGTAGATCCTCAAATCATCTCTGAATTGGTGCTGACACTGTCCTTCCTTCTGGAGGGGGGCTACTTTGTTCCCCATGGTCCCTGTGTGTGTTGTAAAGTAGTCACCACTCCAAGATCACTCCCGGGATGGACTACAATCTCAATCCAAATTAGTAAACTAAACATGAGATTGTAGTCCATCGTGGAGTGAGCATGGAGCGGTGACTACTTTACAACACACACAGGGACCATGGAGAACAAAAGTAGCCCCCCTCCGGAAGGAAGGACAGTGTGAGCACCAATTCAGAGATGATTTGAGGATCTACAGCCGAGTGATACACAAATAAGATACATTTTTGTTAATAGTTAAAAGGTACTTGAATTAATGTTTTAAGGTTTGAGGCCTCGTTCACACCAGATGCAGCGCGTTCCTCCCGATTCTGGCCAGAACGCTCTGCCTTGCATTGCGGCCGGCTCACTTTCTTGTGGGGCAGGAGGGGACATGGCAGTCCATTGAAGGGAATGGCACCGTAGTCACGCCCTCTGGGCACACTGGATAGCAAGGCACATTATGCCTGCAGTCCGGTACAGTCAAAATAGTGGTTGCAGCATTTTGTTTGGACCGGACCGCAGCCATAATGTGTCTTGCGATAACCTGCTGCCCATCGGATATTGCGGCCGGAGGGCATGGCTACGGTGCCATTCACGTGAATGGACCGTCACGTCCCCTCCTGCCCCACAAAAAAAGTGAGCCGGCCGCAATGCAAGGCAGAGCGTTCTGACCAGAATCGCGCCGGAACGCACTGCATCTGGTGTGAACGAGGCCTAACTCCTGAATTTTATTGTCACTAATGAAACACCATGTTGTCACATCTATGCCCCCTCTTGCTGATTGGACAGTGAAGGAGCAGCAGCATACTGCTCAGTTCTGCGGGATTGCAGGAGGCCAATATAAGTTTATAGTACTTCTATCAGCAGAATTTACACAACAGTTTATTTAGTTCTTTATTGTTTTTAGAACAAATGCAAAACTGGAATAAAAAGGTGTTTTTTTAGGCTTCTAAGCTATAGCTCTGTGCTTGCATAGGCCATGACAAAACAACCTTGACAAATGCAGGATTCCGCTGCTGATGGGAGAAAATTAAAGACATTTGTCACGCCGTGTGACCGTGTCGCCACGAGACAGGCCCGGCCTGGTCCGATTTCCTCATTCATTGCTGAGTGACAACATCTCTCTCAGCAGCCGCGTTAGGTCTGCTCTCTGACATGTCTTGCATACTTTCTTTTATTGCCAAAAGTATGTCTCTGCATAGTTCCATTCTCAGCTGTAGATAATGTCACTGTGATGAAGTCACCTATATGTACGGGCTTTTCCGCTCTGCTCCGAAACTGCAAGGGGCACATCGCTCTGCAACAACTGCTAGACGCGGGCAGCGTGCATTTTTAACCCCTACATGCCCAGCAGGACTCTTTCTCCTTCATTCCCAGAAACAATCTGCTTAGATGCCTTTAACTCTTAGCTGCTGGGCCAATATTTCCCTTCCCCCCCCCACAATTTTTGGCCTTAAAATTGGTCCTAAAACCAACTATATATACCAAAATATAAAAGATGAGACTATGTCATGGGAAAAAAAATATATACTAATTTCAAATTATATTTTTAGTAAAAAAGTAAATGAAAATGAATTTTAGTTGCACACAGACAATATAATCTCCAATTGTATGATACAATATAACAGAGGAGACTGTCAAGTAAATAAATACCAATGATGTCCATCCGTGGCTTCCTCCATAGATACAGTGGAGGAGTGAGTGTAGCCATCCAGGGGCAGGATGTTCACTATTTGCATGATTAGCAGGTAAAAAGAAAAAAACAAAAAACAAACAGGGAACAAATTAAAAGGCAGCTACCACATCTACCAATGGGTAAGCTGCAATAGATTCCAATGTTGTTTTTGAGTTTAGGTACGCTTTAAGAACCTGGGAACCCCTGACTTATACAATCACAAGGCAGAAGGTTGCCCAGGACCAGGTCGGAACCCTAGGGATTTGCAGGGTGGCGAGGCCTGGTGCACAGAAATAAATCCAGGATGGAATGAGAAGCAGTATGTAGGCAGGCTGCGAGTCCCGTGTCTATTTAAATGGCACATTTTCATGGACAGAAGTTGTGCCAAGTGCTCAGGCACAGGGCAGCAGCAACCTTCTCTGTATTCCTTGACAATTGGGGGCAAACAGAGACAGGTGTACATACCCGCTCTCCAGATCGCGGCCTCTTCTTTGGCCGAGCTGGTAGCGCATCCTCCTTTGGATTTGTGTCTATTGCCCAATAGGAACCCTGAAAAAAATACAAAGCAAAACAAATGAGGACTTTAACTGACGCAAGCTGCAAATATGGTTCAGAAATACTTCTACCCGAGAAACCTCCATTTACACAAAGAAGTTATTTAATCTTTTACATATGAAGGATTTATTGGGCATATTTAAATGAAGGCTGTGCCCGATATCCTTAAGAGAACCAGTCACAAATGGGCATTTAAAATGATGTGAGAAATTACTCTTGAATTGTTTAATAAGGTATTACTATTAATACTATTACTCTCCCTGCCAAAGCAGAAGCGTCAGGGAGCAAGACCCCCATAGCGGCTAACCCATGTCCCGCCTGAGATCAGTGCTGATAAGTTTACTCCAGAAGCCCATATGGCCTTGAGCTGAGCAGGAATTGGGTTAGCCTCTGTGGGGATCTTATAGTCTGCCACTAAGCAAGCTGGAATTGCTGCTGTAACCGGGAGCGACTACAAGGCAAGCGGACACAAAAAGGTATTTCTAAGGGTTAAGGCCGCAGTATTTAAAGTAGGGTTTGAAATTCTAACAAATGCCCCTTCTCAGGCCGTCTTTAACGCAGGGCAAAAGGGGCAGTTGCCCCGGGCCCAGTTATTGTTGTGGGGCCCAAAGCAGCCGCCCCTTGAGCCTGCACTGCTCGCTCCCTACCTGGAGATGCGGGATGTCAGTGTCCCGTCCCTTCCTCCCCCCCCCCTCCTGGTTTCCCTGATCTCTCCAGAGTTAAGACAGCAGAGATCGGCAGATAGGGACCTTTTTCTGCTCTGCCTAGCAACTGATGACGCTGGGCGGGCTGTCATAATAACGTACCTCGGCCCGCCCATCACATCATCAGTTGCTAGGATTTATTTTTTATCAAAGCATAGGGATCAGAGCCTATCATGCATGCCTAGACCAGCCGGTCCGCCCATCTGCATCATCAGTTGCTAGGCAGACGGGGGGCTGATAAAAAAATATATATAAAATAAATTGATTTGGGATTTTGGGGTGGAGAGAGAAACTGCATGGCAGATAGAGGGCGTGGCTTGGTGGGTAGGGGCGGGGGCCCAAGAAAATGTTTGCCCAGGGTCCAATCAATATTAAAGACGGCCCTGCCCCTTCTTGACCAGTGCTCTTTGCATAAGCATGCAATGCATGCACTGCCAGATGCATATTGAAAACACTAGATTGGTACTTGCCCACTGGGTTCTGAAACCTGTGCAACTTATGATCCTTTATACTAGGGGGGAATTTATCAAAACTGGAGCAGCTGCCCATGGCAACCAATCAGCTTCTCTCTTTAGTTTGTTCAGTTAAGGTTTGAAAATGAAAGATATGCTGATTGGTTGCCGTGCACAGCTGCTCCAGATTTTGTCTGCTCCAGTTTTGATAAATTCCCCTCTCAGTGTAGGACAGATGGCACATGGACAGCACAGAGTACCTGGGGGGCCAATGTGAATAAGAGATGTAACAGCATGGGAGCAGGGAGTCGTTGGTGCTTGGTACCATTCTTTATAGTGAAACTAACAAGAGGTCAATTTGGAAGCTGCCCGTGGTTGATCCCTAGGGTCACCAACCACTTAATAAGTCAGTGGGCTTCTACATAGGCAGAGCCCGCTGTCAATCAGCCAGCTGAGTGGATCTCGACAGTATTGTCGGGATCCGTCCTGGCAGTGACATTCTCCTTATATAGCGAGCTATATACTGAGCTTTGGGTCACGGGAGGAGGTTAGAATATGTCCTCCTGTGACCCTAAAGAGAACTATGGGATAAAAAGGTTACCCCATAGTTGTCTTTTAAGGAAACTGACAGCCACATACTCGCATCAGGTCAGGACTTGGCAAGTAATGAAGGAAGAACAAGGATGATAGGCCTACAGGACGCTGGTCAACAATGGCAGCAAGATTTTATTTCTGTCCTCACAGCTTCCTTTTGCTCACCATACATCATTAATAGCGGTATTGTACTCTACGTCCTGCAGGAATGAGGCCAGTTACCTTTCCAGGGTCGTCCTTGGATCGAGGCACTTTCAGAAAGCACTTGTTCAGTGACAGGTTGTGTCGTATAGAATTCTGCAGACAGAAAGCACACAGAGGCGACTCGTCAGCATTCTATTATAATAAGACAGCATTGAGGAAACGGTATCTAAAAGATTAAGGCAAGAAATGCTTCGATGGCACATTTGTGCTGCACACTGCACCCAACTCAGAAACAAAGAGGTCACATAAGGTAAGAAGTTATGTTTTTGTCAAGTTTATATTACACCCAAATTATTAGCCCCACACGTTTCCAGGCAGACTCAGCCATCTTCTTAGGGTCATAAATATCCATGCAGCAAAACCGTTGTTTGATCTTCATGTGATTTGATGCTACTGCTGGTCCTTTTAAAACAGGCTTTTATAACCCGTTTGCCATTTCTTTAAAGGCACTCTACCTCTGTCTTTAATGATATAAAAAACCTCCAAGACACAGGTCACCTGGTGGATCTGGAATGTGTGACCTGCAAAAGGTGAAGAATTCCAACGCTTTCCCAGCTGTTCCAGGGCAGATCGGCATCGCAGATGGTATTGCAGGAGAACTGATCTGCCCTGGAACAGCCGATCGGTCCTGAAATGTCACTTCTATCCGACTTTGGTGGGGGGATTACGATAAAATGTGTGACCACGTCACCGGTTAGGTCGCAGTCACAAACTTTGATAGAACACCTGCAGAAGGTGGTTAAACACTGTTTCCTTGCTCATTCAGTGTCTCTTGCTGTGCCTAGGCACTCTTCTGACTTGAGCCTCAGTGCAGTGTGAGATCCTCCAAGTCACTACTGCTGGCTCTATGATGTAAAGAACCTCTACTATACAGGTAACATTATGGATATGGGGATCAATATTTGTATTTCTCTTCATGGCCAGCAAAAGGTTGTTCAACACCATAATCTTGGCCACCCAAGGCAAAGCAACAGCATCTGTGTAAAGCCCACTCCAAACCAATGATACTTACCTTGCCAAGGCTCTCCTAATTGATCATTTTCAATTAAATCAGATTTTTTTAAAAAACAAAGTTTACTTCAGAATGAAACTGCATGCACATTTTTTTTACAATCGCACCGCATTGGAACGCAGGGCATTGCAGGGGCGATCACACTGCGGGCAGGAGGCGCGATGGGGTGCCATTGAAATGAACGTTTGGAGAAAACGGGGGCAGCATCGGAGGCCCGGCTGGGCACCAGCTGCAGTGCTCTGTGCTCCCTCCGATTCCCCTCTGGGACACAATCCGCAGCATGCAACGGCTCCCAGCCAGGAGGAAAATGGGGGAGAAGAGCAGTGGCGGCAGGTGGATACAACTAATCAAAATCCATTGATGAGAATCGATTAGTTGTTGCAGCCCTACTCCATAGGACCCTGCAAGGGAAGAGGAGCCACCCTAAACAGGATATATCAGGACCAGTGGTCAGAGGAGCATCGTCCACTGTAAGTTATATAATCAGCATTTGAAATGGCTTAAAAGAACTCTGGGCATGTAAAATATGAAGCCTTGCAGTGCAGCTACCCCCGCACTGCAAGGGTTAAGTGCACATTTTGGTCTACAGTCTAAAATAAGGAAGATGCACTCATCTGATCCTCAGTCCCGCGACAGTGACCTCTCACCTCTCTGCCCCTCCATCTCTGGCTGTGGTATGTCCCTTGGCGCCCTCACGTCTAATACAAGTGAATGGACCTTGCATAGACGTGATGACTGGGGGGATGACTGACGTGAGTCTGGGGGAGAAGAGGCTGCGGCGATTAGTCTACCAACCAGGCAGGACCGAGGATTGGGCGAGTATACTTTTTTTTTTTTTAATTCTAGGACCTAGACCAAAGCGAGCATTGTGAGGGGGTGGCCCCACTGTAAGGATTCATATTTTACATGGCCAGATTAAAAACCTTTTGACTAATTAAAATTCTACTTAAAAATGTTCAATTTTGCCAGGAAAAAAAACAAGTCCCCCCAAGGTCCCTTCAGACACCTGAGGACAGTTGGACCATACACGGTACCCGCACCCTGTGTGAATGTTGGTGTTGATATGTACAGAAAGGCGAGGGTGGAGAGAAGCTGCGTTCGATGCTGCCAACGCCGCTCATCAGTGTAGAGAATAACTGCAACCAGTTAAAGTTTCCCAACCTCCTAGAATGACTGTTCTCCCTAAAGGCAGCTGTCGTGTGTGAGGCCCATAGACATTTTGCACAGTCACGCCTTACAGTCAGACACGTTCTTCTCTATTTTAAGTCAAGTCACTATGCACTCACCTGACGGTGACGGTTTTACTACCAAGCTATCAAAATAAGTGTGCACCGCAGCCAACTTGACATAGCTTGTTATCAGCTATTACCAGGCTGGATCTCATACCAGGCTGGATCTCATGAACTAGACAGAAGAAATCTGCCAGATTTACATCGATACCCCAGTGAAGAGGATGCCAGGGAGGCCGACGTACGCCATCATAAAAGCTACCCTTGTGAAGCTACCTTGGGAAAACGGATCGTTTAACCCCTCCGGGGCTCAGCATTCCCCTTGCATGTTCTGCGGCGCAGCAAAAGTGTTAATTAACAACCTCTCTAGTGATGAAACCTGGCGTGACCGCCGCTGAGTCATAGTATGGAGCGATTCCGCAGAATGACAAGTAAACTTGTGCCAAATACCGGCAAAACGCAGAGTATTAACCCTTCCGTAGTAATGGAGACACCTGCCAAATAGATGTATAAAGTAATGGACTGCCTCCCCCTAATCTGTCCATATGGCTGCACAACAGAACATTGCAGAGCCTGCAGATCTACAGAATGCATTTTCCTGTTTCGCCTTCTAAATGTATTATTATTTATGATTAATAATAAATAATATTACAGGTATTTCTATAGCGCAGACAATTTACACAGCACTTTACATACTGCACACATTCACATCAGTCCCCGCCCTTGAGGAGCTTACAATCTAAAGTCCCTAGTGCACACGCATACATGGCCAATTTAGACAAGACCAAATTAACCTTCCAACATGTCTTTGGAGTGTGGGAGGAAACCCACACAAGCACATGGAGAACATGCAAACTCAATGCAGATAGTGCCATGACCTGGGATACAAACAGGGGACCCCCAGTGTGCTGCTTGCGCCCACCCTCAGCCCTCTGCTTCCTGAATTCCCCTCCATGAACTTTCCCCTTCCAACCCAGGACCTCACAAAGCAAACACTTCCACTGCAAGCCTGCTTTCACCTTGCACGTGGCAAAACTAAATGGGAGTTTCCACTTTTGATCTCCTAAGAAATGCAATCTGCCTGGCAGTCAAAGCGAATCGAGGGACTTAATCATTTCTGAATCACTGACCTGGAATTAACATGTAGCAAGTCAAAATGTGGTCAGCGCTCTTTATTTGCAAATTTGTTGCAAGTCTGTATCTCAAAGCATTGAAGTCAACTGAACAATGGGAAGAGCAGGCGACCAGTATTATTAGAATGAAAGTTCAGCGCCGGTAGCACAGGAGAGAATAAAAATGGCGGCCAAATTTGCAGGTTGAAAGCTGAAGTCCAGGCAAATAGGAAAACACACAGAAGTACTTATATAGAAATGGTTTTCATGCCAAAGTAAAAGAGTCCTGCCAGACTGGTGACCAGATCAGGATTAAACTCTAAGGCTGGGCACACACCTTACAACCATCGCAAGACTTTTGTCTTGCGATGGTTGTAAGGTACTTAAAAAAACGTACGGTCTGCCTATCTTGCATAGGCAGATCGTACTTGCGATGATCGCAAGCCACGTCCCCTGAGGGGCGGGCTTTAGATGACCGCAATGCCGAACGGGCAGTGTGCGCTTGCGGACACCGGCACGTACGGCTGTTATCGTACGGACATGCCACAAACCCGCCGAACATCGTACGATGCTCGGCGGGTTTTCGAACATGTCCGTAAGTTTAAAGTCGTGCGACCTTACAGTAGTAGAGGTCACACGGCTTCCACACACCTTACGATAATCATACGATCGCAGGATTTCCCACGATCATCGTACGATTATTGTAAGGTGTGTGGGGACCTTAAGGCCTGGTTCACACCTGGGCGTTTTACAGCGCGTTCCTACGCGCTGTAAAACGCTCAACATGTGAAAACCAATGATTGCCTATGGGCATGGTTCCCACCTGGGCGTTTTACAGCGCGTAGGTACGCGCTGCAAAACGCCCTACGCCCAAAGAAGTTTAGGAGCTTCTTTGGGGCGTATGTGCCACGTGTATCTATTAGGATACAGCAGCAAATCGCGGTAAAAACGCGCGGCACACGCGCATATTCCGTACGCCTAGGTGTGAACCCAGCCTAAAGGGATCCCACCGCACTCCTTACTTACTTGGACTGATTAGGGGGAGGAGTGTTATCGGGGCCAAGTATTGCCGTACAGTGGACTGCAAGAGGATGAAATCAAGTCAAATTTGCAGTCACATGACCTTTGCCTTCCCCACTCAGCAGCATTCGCTCACCATTCCTTTACTCCAACTCTGCTCCACTAAGCCCTAGCTAATACCCAGCCAGTCCAGGTATAAACAAGCAGTGCACAGGCCCTTGCTGGTTATGCACGGCTTTCTTTGCCCAATACCGGCAACCGAACATAGTGGCAGGGAAGGTAGGAAAGGGCACATGCTGAGGAGTGGGGGAGTCCAGCACGCTTGACTGAAGCAGCTACCAGGAGCACAGTGAATGTTTGGCATCATTTGAGACTGCACAAAGCCAACTGTTCCCAATCAACTAAACCTCATTAGATAACCGGGTCAACAGGAAGCACAATCTGGTTATGCAATGAGCAAATAGGTCTGCTCCTAAACTATTCCTAGGAACAAGGTTTCGAAACATTCACACACTCTGATCAGATGATTTGCATTTAGATGATTGTTTCACATGCATACCTAGGAAATTCTGAAAAAGCTATAGGACCTCTTCGAGGAGGAGTGACCTCAACCTATGTGTGTGATCTGTGTATTTAGTTGGAGTATCCTGAAGAAAAATTATTATTACCCTTGCAGTGGGGCTACCCCAGAACTGCAAGGGTTAAAAGAGAACTATGGGG